GGAAAAATGTAATTTACTTGATGTGAAAATTATAATATTTTGAATTTCGATTGAATGGTTCAAGACTAGCAGAAAGGGTGATTCCGTATGAGAGGCATAACTGTATGATGAGATTTCTCAACAAGTGAATATAGAAGTGAAGATAGACAACAAATTATTATTTATTTTTTCATGAATTTTCGCTTAGGTTTACAAAAATAAGCATTAAAATAAGAATATTTTGATATAATAAACTCATTTTTCACTAAATATTGAATATATATTTTTTCTTTTATTCATCTAAATTTATTATTTTTTAAACAGTATAAGTTAATTTTATATTATACCATTAACTTCGACACTCGATAACGATCACTAATTGGCAACATATCCACCAAGAAAAAATATATTTTTATTTAAATTGTTTACATATCTGTGGAATTGGAACTCAAAGGGAACGAAAAATGTCGTTATTTTTCTTGAAAAAAAAACAATATGTTCATTTTCTCGTTCTTTATTTATAGAAAGAAATTCGTTCCAGAAATACGATCATTTTGGAACTCGTTCCTTCCAAACACTGTAAAATACTAAGAAAACAACATGTTAGAAAAATAGAAACTATAACAGTAAATTGAGTTGGTAACAGTGTAACACCAATAACTAATATTTATAATAAGTAATTTTTGAAATTTGAAAAACCATAAAAGTAGTAGTTAACCTAAGTAATAACTAGTAAGAAAGTAAATACTCAAAGTGGATAGTAGCTAGGTGACAACAACAAACGGAGATGGACAACGTTCTACGGTAATACCTTTGAATTTCATACAATTTACAATGCATAATTTTTTAGTACATTGGAACCACCATGATAAAATTTACCTTAGGTCATAAAATATAGTGTCCAATCTTGCCATGCCTCATATTTAAAATCACAATTATTATCTTATATATTTTATTTTATTTTTGGGAACTATTATGATATTTCATAATAATACAATATTGTATTCTCATGTTGTACTGCATAATAACTTATAGCATATCTGTATATACCTACCTGTTTTAATTTCCACATACAGTTTTCTACTGTTGTATAGTTTTTAGGGCGGCTTGTAGGGTCTGAAGTTGGAGTTTTGATAAAATCACGAACATTTGCAAATCATTTGAGTTCAAGATTATCCACCCAAATTCTTATTGATCGATTTCTTATTATGTTGTCATTCAAAAATAAACCACCGTTGATAGTTTAAATTTTCACGAAATTTGTTTATTTAAACATTGTCAATCCATTTATTTCAACTTTTTAAAAATATTTTGTATCTTTTTGTTTTTTTTTTAAATTTTTTTAAAGAAATGTATGAACAATTTTACAAGGTTCTGCATAAGTCGTTTTAGAAGCAGTTGAAGAGTATTAATGGTACATAAATATGATTTATTTTCAATTTTAGAGTGAAAATGCTGACAAAATTCATTAAAACCTATAAAATGTTCAATTTGTATAACTAAAGATTGAAAATAAATTACAAGGTTAGGTAATATCGTCCTTAAGCTATTGTTGAATACCTACTTACATGATTATGTATTTATGTATTTAATTTTATCATCTTTGAATTTCATGACTTTTTGGCTGATATTTAATATTTGTCGAATGATTCAAACTTTGCGATAATGTCACCAAAAATACTAAAAAAATTGTCTTATTAGAATGAGTTAATATTATGTTTAAAATGAGAATCCTTCTGTATGATCAGTTGATAAAAAAAGTTATCTCCTTACAATTTGTAAAAGGCGTTATTGAATGCATTAGATTAGAGTAGCAGCACAACATTCTTTTGGGTAAAAAATAATTTACCGATAAAAAAAATTTAACAAAATTCACATCTTTAATATATATTATATTGTAACCTAATCTATTGTGAATTGTCTTATTTGTCGACACATTTTCAATCCTCAACTATTAAAGGATACTTACCACATTATAAACATAATAAAATTAATGTATAAGTTTAAACATAAAATAGTAAAAATAGAAATAGATACTTGGTACTTATTGTTCATCAACTAATAATTTGAATATGCGTTTAAAATCATTACTTCGTAACTTTAAATTTCAAATAAATAATAACAGAGTCATTTTCAGATGTATTTTTATTTTATGTAGCTCTATGCTTTTTAATATCAATTAAAAAAAAAAATGGTGAACTTTTCTAATAAATTTTCAAAGTTAATAGGCATTATGAGTATGCCAAGTTCAAGAACGTTTCCATATTGCACGTATAATTATAAAGAAAATAAAAAAATTAGATGATTAATGTATCTTGCTAAGGTTAACGCGTTCCTGCTATATAAAGATTTGTATCTACTTTAAATTATCGTAAGTTGTAACCATATTAAATTTATTAGACTGTAAATATTTTTTTCACAGGACTACCTACTGATCATAATTTCGGACGCATGTAGTATGCTCCTTTCCATATTGCACATATAATTATAAAGAAAATAAACCGATTAGATGATTAATGTATCTTGCTAGTGTTCACGCGGTTCCTGCTATATAAAGGTTTGTATCTACATATTTGATGAACCCATTATAAATTATCGTAACTTGTAACCATATTAAATTTAGAAATTATTAAATTTACAAATTTTTTTTTTTTAAGGACTACAATGTTAATGTAAATTAAATAATGTTAGCTTGCTCAAAAATTTAAAAAACACAAACCTACTAAGATGTTTTCATCGTATTTATACATTTTATTCAATGTAACACTTTTAATGAACAGTTATCGAGCCTCTAGGCCTCGAATCGCAAGACTCAGGATCAATAATTTAATAAATCGTACAGTACACGATGCAGAGCAGGTTTCTTTTCTTCATTGATTGTGGCGAAATGGTGTCGAGTCCATCCACACTCTAGTAAGTGGCTCTGTCATTTTATGCACCTCAAGTCGGAATATGACTACTTAGTGCATCATCGCATTATAAATCTCTTATAAGTAACTTGAATAACTCATTGAAATCCTGTTCTTCGGTTAAATTCAACTTACTTTCCGTAACAGAGACAGTTTGTCGAAAACTGATAATAATATCACCTAGAGTTTATAATAATTGAGTATAATAATTAATTTATATTATTTGTTAAAAGAAAGACATAATAAATTTATTGTTTTACAATAATACAAGAAAATAACTTATTATTCTGTATGATTTGATCAAAATGGTTTTTTCCAAGGTCAGACAAGATTAAACTCCAATACCAGACAACCAAGTACTGCATTGTTTCATTTTACACCTTAAACATGACTTTATATTTTCCACTAAAATACACTTTGGGAAAGTTATGATCATGGATTTTTTTTAAGTCAATTCCTGGTGTATTATATGTGCCCTGTAAAAATATTGATATAATTTTATGGTGATTTGATTGCTTAATCGTATTAATTATGTTTGTACAGATTTTATTTTATTGTACTCTAATAATTGAACTTATTATACCTATTTGTATATTTTGAAGTTACATTAATTTGAATGTGTAACATAACAATGCCTTAAATATTAAAACAGAGTTCCCAATAAAATTGAAAATTAAAGTTCTCAAATGTGGACTAATTTGTTGGCCTGCAATCGAATTCAAATATATTATAAATATCAAATAAAATTAAAGTGATAACGTTAACAATGGGTTTTATATGTAGGATATCATATATATATAGGTAATATTATATAAGTAATAATTACAAGTAACAGTAAGAACTAAAAATTATTTATAAAGAGTATTTAAAAAATAATCACTCATGATTTATTGAAAATCAAATCAAACGAAACGGTTGTTCATCCTATGCTTTGCTCTTAATAAAAGACACTCCCCTCATGATTATTCTACTATTCGCTTCCCATAATGCATTTATAAAACATCGATTCTCGTCGTGTTTTTTTTTTTTTTTTGATAAAGGCAGAGAAACTTGTAAGGAATCTTGTATCACATTATTAAATATTAGATATAAATAGACATTTTTTTATTAATTGCCAACTAATTTTCGTGATTTTTACGAATTATGACAAAATTCTAAACTCAAACGCTCATATAAAATTATTGTGGATCCGCTAACATCAACTCACGAGGATTCTTGTATTACATTTTAAAATTGTTTGATGAGAGGAAAATACTCTATCGACATTAGTTCAAAAAAAACCCCCCATGATAATCGAAATAAATATTTCAATACGAGTCAAAATATCTTGAAAATTATTCGGTGCACACAATGTTCTTACACAAACATAGAAAATACGGTCATTTTTTTTTTATAGTTACACTAAAAAACAAATTCGATTTTTGCAAATACTGGCTTTGCTTAAAAATTTCCGTTTCTCCTTAATATTTTGTTTGTTTTTCCTTACGCTTTTGAAAACTATTGACAATGTTAGATTTTGACATGACAAATTTCCTACAAGAAAAGTTGCTGTTGACCAAAATTGAAGTATTTTAAAAACACGCATCATTGTAAAATCAAGACACTCATCTCTCCGCTCAGGATCTAAAATTAAAATAAAAGCTTAATATATATAATATATACATAAATGCTTAGACTATCTCCAACTTCTCACCCTGTTTGTCAATTTATACCTAACTTTATCGTTTTGAGTTTGGGACAATCGACAAATTCATTATCTAGCTGATAATGCTAAAAAATTTAAAAATGATAAAACGCGCAATGCTGACAACGATTTTATATCAGAACAACTATTTACATGTATATCTGAATGAGCTCCTTTTGTACCATTCAATTGAAATTCCAAAAACTATATATTTCGCACCAAGTAAATTACATTTTTCCTGTTACACATAATTAAATATATACTATATACTTCCTGAAATATTTAGAGGTTACTGCTCAAGCATGTCAATCCATATTTAAACGTATTGATATATTATTTTAGATTTTTATTTATTTTTCGTTTGTTGTATTTTTTCAAACTGTATTCCATCATTGTTGTAATATAGTAAGGGGCGTATTAAAAAAAAAAAAAAAATGATAATAATAAAAGTATTCTTACTTATTGGGACTTTCTCATTGTCGCAATCAAAAAACCGCTTTATGCCAAACTTGCCTTTTGTAAGTTTTAATAATCTGATTTATTAATTCAACATAATATTGCATATGTATTATAATTCTCATTTAAGTGTATTGTATACATAATATTACTGTCATGACAGGGAGAATATCGTGTTGTTTTTGAAAAAATGTATCCATGTGAACCAAATGGAAACCATCCATTTCAATTTAATATTTATTTTGATAAAAAGACATTTAATGAAACCGAGGTGAAAGGAAATGTAACAGTTATGAGGCCTTTTGACGATAATTTTACAGTAAGTATAATATTTTGAAAATTTAAGTTTGTAAAAGGGGATTCGATACCGTCATTTTCTGTTTTTGTCTAACACATGCTTCTCCGAAAATTGAAATACAAAAATTTTTTAATGCACTTTTTTGATATGACATTTTTATGAATTTGGGGGATAATATCAAAAACGTGGGAAAGTTGATTTTAAGTAGACTTAACGACAAATTCAAATCTGTTTTCAGATTCATTATCGCTTCATTAGATCAATTAGTATGTTTGGCAAATACACGTCTAAATTACTATGTCACGCGTGTGTTAGACAAAAACAGAAAATGACGGTATCAAATCCCTTTAATACAGTAAGACTTTCATACTACAAGGATTTCCCTAGTTTATCTCAAAATCTATGTTTGAGCAAATCTCCGGGTTAGACCTATCGGGTCTAATTGTGAAACTAATACCTCCGGGGAACCATTCAAACACACCCAATAGATTTCACCAAAATTTATTTAGCCGTTTAGGCCGGCATAAAGGACAGACAGACCTGCATTCAATTTTATATTACATAAATATAATTACATCAATATCACAAATTATGTGACCGAATAAATCAAGTCGTGAATAACTTAATTCATATTATAAATATGATGAAATGTGTTTGAAGATTTTAAATTTACATTGAATTTAATTATTGATTTTTTGTCGTATACTATAAATTATTTTTTTGTAGTTTGATTTAAACTGGTCATCTTGGGGTTCAACTGGTGGTTGGATACCAAATTCCAATATATACATAACAAAAAAGGCATGCAGTACTCTGAAAAATCTGAACGGAAATTTATGGTTTTTGGCTATCAAAGCTTTGAACATTAAGTCTCCTAACTGTCCAATACCAGTGGTAATATATACATCCTAAAAACAATTCTGATAACCATCTGAAAATGAAATCAGTTCTGAATACAATTTTGTATTAATAACCATAAAGATATCGTATGATATTTTAAAAATGTGATGACCTAAAATTAGTATTAATCTATATTGAAACTACATACATATTAATATATTTTGAATCTAATGTCGGATCATGTTATTCATCCAAATATAATAATTATAAGCAATATGACCTTGAGGATAATGCTCTAGTGGTCGATTGTAAATTTTGTTTATTTACAGGTAGTCGATTTTAGGGTAGGATTCATAACAAGTAAATTCCACCAACAAATTTAAACTATACCTGTACATTTACCTTAACCTTCTATTACATTTTAATGTTTTTACCCGGTCAACATTTTTTATTGACAATTGCAGAAAAAATGTTCAAATACAGACGAAATAATTGAAAAATTGAATGATGAAAAAAAAATTTAAAAATGTATTGAAATTATCTACTATAGTACAATCAAATTCGTTATTGGTTTTTAATTTACACAAAAAAAATTTTTAAAAAATTCGATATCTTTGAAAACTGATTTTCCTGATTATTGAGTTAGTTAAATATTGAGTTAGTTTTTAAAGTGTAGCATTGTCCACAATTTTTTTTGTTTTTACTACAAAAACAGATCATAATAAAATCAATACAACTCATCATTTATCGTTCAGCATTCCGTTCAGAATTCATTACAATTTATTTTTTCAATACAGGGCACATATGTTTCATCAGGGCTTGACTTGAAGATTCTTGAAAACCATAATTTTCCCAAAATATATTTTTATGGAAAATATAAAATGATATTTAAGGTGAAAAATGAAGAAAATAAGATATATGGCTGCGAGTGTTTGGAGATTCAGCTCATACGACCATGGGAAACACCAATTTGATTAAACTATACAATAAAATATGTTAGTTATTCAGTATTTCTGCAAAAAAAAAAGTAAATAAATCATCTCTAGTGTCGACTTTCATAATTTAATTTAAATCATTTATTCATTTTATCATAAATAATTAAATATTTATGATATGTACTGATGGAGAACAACGGATCAATTATTAGTCATTTAATATTTATCAGTATTTATATATAAAAGAATGTCGTGTTAGTTACGCTATTTATAATTCAAGAATGGCCGAACCGATTTGGCTGAAAATTGGGGGGAGAATACTACCAGGAGACAGACATATTATATTTTTTTTATCTAAATGGGTTCAGCTTATTAATTTTGCTATTTATAAAACATAGTCGGACATGGAAGATGTATAGCTGCTATTACTATTATTTTTATTTTTATTATTATTATTACGCATTTTCTATGTACGAGTTATTTTTATTAACCAATGTTGTAAGTACCAATATTCCTTTATGCTAAATAGTTAAATTGTTTTTATATTCATTATTCTTAACAATAGG